TGAGAATATAAATATTAACAGATCATTAACTTGGCCTTAGCATTAAAGCTTTGTCAAATATTCAGGACAATCAAAAGTGGAGAAGCATTCATCTTAGATCCTGGACTTTTCTTCATACTTCAGTCTGCAGAGAACCACTATTTCAGTTGCTAGCATGCTGCACAGAGGTCCTGTTGCCTACCACTATTCAAACAGGAAAATCAAAACCCACAGCAAAAAACCTACAACAAAGTGACAACACATACAGTTCCTCCCATTGCTCAAAAATACTGTCTGCATGTTTGCACAACTTGAGGTTCTTAGACAAACTGTGCTGGACACTGTTTATGTCAAGTTTGCCAGCAAGGCTGCTATTAAAAGTCAGAAAGTTACACAGCTGGAAGAGTTATCTGTGAAGATTTGTATTCTCCACACCTTAAAAGTGGCAGTACAATGCTTCTTACAGTTCAAGAAGAATTTAATCAATGTAGGTGTTTCTATAAACAGTGTGTTATTTAAATGCATAATGCTAGGAGTGTTTTATAGTCCAATTTATTTTAAACACAGAACTGTACCACTGGACATTAATAACACTAAGTAGTGGGAAGCTGCTATGAAGAGCTATTGTCTACAGAGAAAACCAGAAGCAAAACACAGTCAATATCTCTGATATACACAGGATGGAAATCCTGACAAGATGTGGAGCAGCACCTGCATCAGCTGTTTGGATAACATGCATCGGCACTTTTTGGACAACTACTGATATTACACCACCTATAGCTACCTCAGCTACATACCAGAAATATTTTATTAAATTACAGTATTAATGCAATGACATAAACCTTCTGCCATCAACATTCATTCTGCTGTTCACATTACAGCTTTTATAGTCATTGCTTTAAATGAAAAAATCACAGGTTAATTAATGGGGAAAAAAGTTTTCCCAATCTTGGCAGTAACACTTGTCCGGTTTAGGTTTAAGTGTCACCCACTGGATGTCTCACAAAGCCACCAAGACTAACAAGCTTACTCGGAATCATTTTTCTAACAGGAAATTGCCAAGTTTGCATCTTAGCTCATTTAATTGGCTAATGAAACCCAATCTCCCCTCAAAAGGGGAAATATTTTTTTAAAAGGGCACAACCATATTTAGCAGCATGGGCATGGTAAAAGCATAACAAAACTCAAAGCATTCTTAACTGTTGTAAGAATGAAGCCTGGAATTTTTTTATTTTCAACATTCACAAACTTATTGAGATTTTTTTTTACCTGCATATTACATTATCAAGGTAGAGGCAACAGCATTACTAGAGCTTCTGGTCTACCACTGCACCAGATGCTCTACTGAATGCGTTCTGCATTAACAAAAACCCCACACCCACAATTCTTCCACTGTCTCCAGTTCCCTCCTTCATCTCGACCCAAAAACCAAACAGCCCAACTCACACCACTGCTGGCAGTTCTACATGCTCCAGTGGCATTTTATTTGGTGCTTAAACAACAAAGAGGCACATTAACATAGAAAATAGGACAGACCATAGTACTAGACGAACTAGATCCTATTTCACTTGGATCTGATTGTATTGCAGTGTCCAAGGAAGGCAGTATTTTTATCTGCTTTATTATAAAATTACATTCCAGTCTAAGTCAAAGAGACAAACTCATGCCAAGTTTCCACTATCTCTAAAGACCTACAGCAAATAAAGCAGAAAAAGCAAAAAAGAGTAAAAAATGCCACACTGTTTACTAACACTCTATGTTCTCTCATAGAAAAATTTAAAAAATTTTTTTTCAGACATGTTAACAGTTCAAAAGTTATTCCAGCTCTCAAGAACAACGGAAACGTCTGTTATTGCAAATCATTGTTCATCCATAGTTCTTCAGCTACTTCCAAAGTTTTCCTGGAATAGTTTAACTGCAATCCATAAGTAATCTGATAGCAATCGATTTATAAGTAAAACGTGTCGCAGCGCAATTTAGTATCTGCGGTTTCAGGCAATCACTTGAGTGCTTTCAAAATGCATAACAGAATGTCATAGTGACACTTTTAATGTTTCCTGAGTATTTATATTGAGTGCCCAGAAAAAAAGCCAAGCAAATTAAAGAATTTAAGCAAACAGAATTACAGCTCAATTGACTACAAATCAAAACTTCCCCTACAGTGTAAAATACTGGAAGAGTGTTTTTCCTCTGAGCTTGAAAAGTCATTAATTGATTTATGCAAGAATCATTTTCAAGGCTATTGGAAGTTGTTTGCTAGAGATTTCTAAGACAATCTTATCTAAAGCATCACATTTCAGTGTCCTATAAACACTTTTTACATTAAAAAAACACAACCCAAAAACTGGTGCAGACTCAGATTTTTTTTTTTCAAATTACGAGGAAGGGCTAGAACACAAGCTCAGAAGCCTGCAGTTAAAAAGCCTAAGACATCTAGGGAAGTTAAATGCTCCTACTAATGCCATGCAAGAAAAATCAGAACTTTTTTATCGACTTAAAACAGGTTTTATTGTGAGTCATAACACCAAGCTGCCAAATGAAGTATAGACGTCTTTAAAAATATGAATCAATGCAGCTTCTTCAAACTCAGTGGTTTCCAAACAGCATTATTACATTTATATTTAAGATTACAAAAAGAACTTGCTCCAGAGTGTTCTGCAGCAGGCTGATGAACTTTACAGTTAAATCAATTTAACTGAATGTTATGAGAACATGAATATGGAAATTGCAAGGTGGAAAATGGATCTGTAGGCAATTCTCATGAAGGACAAGCTGCTCAAAGACACTGCCTTACAGTGAGTCCAAGAAACAAACACAGAACTGTTCTGTGCAGCAGCCAGAATTTCAGAATTATGTTATTGGGGAAGGAAGAGAAAAAGGTGTTAAGGATAAGTTAAGTTTTAGTCTGATACAATCATTTGCATTAACATCAGATTCCTGAGAATCAAGGTACAAGTCAGTAAAACGCAGCACAGCCTGCAGCAGAGCGCTGTGTGCGTCTGGGTTTCAGTAGGTACTGCTGTGTGAAAGCCATCAGCACGAAAGGGATACCAGTATCCACCATCACTTGCACCCAGGGTCTCAGAATGCTTCCTCCAGAAGGCAGAGCTGCTCCAGCACTTCTGCTGCATGCTCGGCTTTGAATACTGTTACACAGCAGCAGCTGAAGAACAGAGTGCTTTTAAGAAATCTGAAGTCTAAGGGGGGGTTTAAAAATAAAACCTTGACTTTCTAGTCACAGTGATCTAGAGCTTGTTCTGGAGCTCCCTCTTCAGGTTAAATACTACACTATATTAAAGACTGCTATATCCTCATAACTGATTCTACTCAAAATGAGATTATATCCTTGCAAAAAAGGTATTATCAAAGGCATCTCCTCAAACCTCTGTACACTACTTTGTAGAGAGCATTAGATGTTTGAGTTGCAAGCGCTGCAATCTTAAAAAGATGATGAGAAGACAAGGACATGTTAAACCCAGGAAAATAAACTGAAGAGTCACTTTACTTACACACCTTTGGTAGCCAGTGCAAGAGCACCACTGACAGTAAAACCTCTGTTACTGTGAATCACGAGATGGAACAATACACACTGATGATGAGAAACTAACAGTGTTGTCTATTTATAATCAAATTGCAACTTCGCTAGGTTTAAGGCTGTTAACATGTCCCACTCTTTGGGTGATCTTTCAGCTACTCTAAGCATCCATCTGCCTCCTTGCTAAGAGCTACTTTGTTCCACAAAACCTGATGCCTTTACTCCATCGTTTTTGGTTCCACAAGCTGCTACATGGTCTGACACCTCTGCTTTTTAATGTATGGAATCAAGTGTTTGCAAAAAGTTTGGAAAAGTCTTTAAACGGGTTCTCCTGAAATGTCACTATCTTTCCACAAGTTCTAGATGGCCCCCACATGGAAGGAGTTTTCAACACAAATTCCTGAGAAAAGGATTTTTCCAAACTCCTGTTAAGAATTTTTTCCTCTCCCACAATAGCTAAAGGTTCAAAATCAGACAGCCAAGGAAGTCTTTGGAAACAGTGCAAGAGCCAAAAGATCAAGCCTTGCCTATGATGGTCATATTTTACTACTGCTGAGCCCCCACTCAGCACTTCCCTCAGTCTTTAAGCAAACATCCACGATGGCCAGCTGAGTCATCTACGACTACCTCCGCCTCAATACTGATGAGCCTGCCCAATCAGTGGGAACAGATTTCTAGAAGAATCCATAATTGAGAAAAGATTCTTCTAGTCATACTTTTCCAGAGAGTCTCTCCCTGTCATTTCTTTAATCAAAGAAACATTGTTAAACCCTCTCCTAGCTCAAGCTGTGAGACCTTCCACAGACTATCAGGGAACAAAGTCACAGCATTTGAAAATCTTACGTCCTATGACCAGGCTTATAGGTTTAGTATAAACTTTTCTATTTTAGGGTGGAATGGATTTCAACTTGAATGTCTGAGAACAGCAACACACAGTTTGTTCAGTTCTTAGTGATTAAAGTAACAACTAAACAAACACACGAGCTAGCTCCTCCCACTGCATGCCTTGCTGTGCCCGAAACGTGTAGGGTACTTATCATTTCATAAATGTGGCCCTTAATTTGATGCATCAGTTCTGAAACAGACTTGCTGTTTTCAGATGCCAGGTTACAGCCTTCTAAAGCAACACAAATTTATTAACCCTATGCTAGTCTCCTTCCTTTACATTCTGTGAAAAAGACAAACAAACAAAAAACCCAACCAAAAAAACCTTACTAGCTAGAATCAGATCTTATTCAATCAGCTCAGAAGCTTGTGGAAATTGTGCACAACTCATCAGCTATACAAGTGCAAGACTAAAAAGAACAGCCTGAACCTAGAAAGGGTGTCTCCTCTCTACTGCCAGAGGGCATTGACAAGTTTTAACTCCCTACAACCAGAAGACATCACAATAAACTACCAAAAATATCAAAGTAGGTTGGGAATACATATCATAGCCCACATCAAGTCCTAAGTCATATTCTACAAGTTAAAGATGCTTTCTTACTTTTCATGGTGCCCTCCTCCTCTTCCTCTTCTGTGTTTATGACCATTGTGCCCAGCTGGGATTCCAAGGTGCCGTCGTGTTCAATCATTGTGTTGGCTCCATCACTCATTGTGTTGACAGCTCTTATGGTACCAGTTTCATCTCCACTTGCCCTCACCATGGTACCTGAATCTGTTTCATCTTCTTCCTGTACAAGGATGCCATAAATACATTTTTACTGGTCCCATGAAGAATGCCTGTATTCAAGGATACTGACAATGCTTACTAATTCAGATTTTTTACAAATACACATAGAAGCAACATTTTGGTTTATGCACTTAGTTCTCTCCCTGTCATCTCCAAACAGGTAATGAAAAGTCTTTATACTTTTCTGCCAGCATGATAAATAAGAGAACAGATGAATAATTCGGAGAAGGTTCTCAATGCAAGTTGTAACTCATTTCTGACCTGGTGACCTATCCGTAAGAGTAGATTACAAATACTCATTCAGTCATTAGTGTTTCTGCTTATTTTGCAAGCTTTAACAGTTGAACTAAAACCCCTATCTCAAGTGGTACAGTTCACTGAAGAGTCATTACTTATTAGACAGCAACAGGTCTAAGTCTGGAGTGCATGTGGCACATTGAAGAAGAACAATTCCCCTATTTTTTAGGAACCTGTCTTTAACATTTAGGTAGTTTTACTTGCTAGAAACTTCAAAAGCACTGAATAAAAATAAACTGCATTTGCAAATCTTTAAAAAGGAATTAAATAAATTTTCAAAGTCTAGCCATTTTTTTCAGATGAAAATTATTTCTTATCTTTCCATTTGCTAACAGGCACCAAATATTATATTTTTGAATTAATGCTGTCAAGGCTCAAGAGACTGACTCTGTAGGAAAAAACACAAGATCCTGAAATAAATTCTGGTAGGACACTTCGTGGCAGTTAGTTGCGTTGGCCAGAAGTTATGTGTGCTTCACTAGGTATATACCATGACTATGAAGAACAAGGTCAAAATTTCCACAATCTATTTAGTTTCTTGGAAATGTGGACCAGCTATCCAACTACAAGACCAGAAGTCACTTTCTAGGTTTACAGTAGAGTTTCTGGGCACCTCACCTTGGATGAGATGCTTGTGTTTTGTTAAAAGGATGAAGTTCACAGTTCTTTGTGTGTGATCATGTGCTTAAGAGGGAAAACACAGGTCTCGCATCAAGCTGTAATACTTCATCTCAATGTCACTAAAAGAAGAAAGTACACCCCTCCACATTCTGCTGTTCCATGCATTTTATCTGTTCTGTCAAGAATGTCTACACAATTTACTTTCCAACCTTAAAACCAATAGCAAGAGGAGGAGAAAACTACACAAGATGTTAAATGGAGGAAAAGTCATTTTATGTGGAGATGAATGGGTGAGAGGAAGTAATAAATTTGTTAGCTACACATCATTTAACAAAGGACTACAGCAGAAATTTCCACAGCACTTGGGAACACTTTTCTGCTAGCAGACATGGAGTAGAGAAGCTTCAGGAAAAAACAGACACTGACGGAGACCACTCAACTCCACTACATAGACATCATCTCTCAGCAATGTGACTCCAGATCAGTCAGAAATGAAGAAGAGAGGGTAAGGACAATACTCTCAAGAGTCAACATGACCAGTAAAGTTACTTCCACACTGAATAAATAGGCGGTCCTAAACTGAAAAATTAGACAAACAATGTCTTCAACAAAGATACTGTTGACCATGCTATTCAAGTCTAACCTCTGAAAGGGACTGGCATACAATGCCTTTTGTCGTGCCCATTTCATTTATTCAGGTTGAAGCAGGCAGAGGCTCAAAAAACAGCTTTCAACATGCTTTCCATATTCACATGCTGTAACCACTGAAGCAAGGAGTCCAAACTTAAATTCACAGCAAACCCCTGAACACTTGTCATGCCCTCACCTCAGGTTTCTGTCGGTTGCTCTTGTGCAGTAGAAAGTTTCTATAAGGGGGGTTCTAAAGCACAACAATAGTAAAACAACACAACATACTTATAGCGCATCACAGATAAGGTTATTATTTTATACTAGGAGAGGAGTTTAAGACCTGAACATACGATCAAAAATTCTCATTACTGCATAAATAATATAACCAACTGGGAAAATATATCAAGTCTTTTGCTGCTTTGTAATCTTATTCAATCACAGGTCTCCTGCTATGCTACAAGCTAAACAGTAAGCCATAGGTGCTCTCTGTCCTGGTTTCAGCTGGGACAGTTATTTTTCTTCCCAGTAGCTGCCATAGTGCTGTGTTTTGGATTCAGGGTGAGAATAAGGTTGATAACACACTGATATCGTAGTTGTTGCTCAGCAGTGTTTACACCAAGCTGAGGACTTTGCAGCTTCTCACCCCACCAGCATGTAGGCTGGGGGGCACAAGAAGCTGGGAGGGGACACAGCCAGGCAAGCTGACCCCAACTGGCCAAAGGGCCATTCCATACCATATGACATCATGGTCAGTATATAATCTAGGGGGAAAGCTAGCTGGGCATCAGTAGGTTGGTGGTGAGCAATTGCACTGTGCATTCCTTGTTTTGTATATTCTAATTCTTTTGTCATTATTATTTTCCATTCCTTTTCTGTCCTATTAAACTGTCTTTATCTCAACCTATGCATTTTTCTTTTTTTTGCCAATTCTCTCCCCCATCCCACTAAGGGGGAGTCAGGAAGTGAGCAAGCAGCTGTGTGGTGTTTAGCTGCCTGCCAGGTTAAACCACAGCACTATCCCACTCAAATACAAAGATTGAGCAGGGACCAAGCATCGGGTTAAGCAGTCATAAAGTAGAAAACCTGAGAACTAAGTAAAATCCACAGGCAACTGGAGAAAATATTGAAGAACAAAACCCAAAACAACTAAGTCTTATGAAAGGAGCAAGAGTTTAGACTTTGTACATTGTTACTATTAAATACTCACTGAATTTTCTTCATCATCTTGATCTACTTCACGTTGTTGTGCCTCTTGACGTTTCAGCTTGATATCCATTGCTTCATTAATCAAGTCTCGCAGAATTGACACTCCTTTGGCACTTTTAACAAACGGATGCTAAGAAGTATTTAAAAGCAAATGAGTACTTCATCAGTAAACCACTGTTACTATGACCTACTTTCAATCAAAATTAAGGTTTAACTCAATACACTACTAAAATATAAGTCCAATAATTCTGTTTGGCACAGGAGGGAGACGTCCCACCCTCCAAACAAGATCATGTTGCAAAGGCACTACTGCTGTGAGACCTTGGGCTCATTCCCCTCCTACAACTCTACTTCTTTCCTTAGCAGCTTAGCTGTCAAGAACCAGTTACACAGATCATCACCATGCCCACACCATTCTGAGCAGTCACTTGCATTTAGCCTCCCCTTTTTAATGTTTTAAGAGGAAGTTTTTTTCTTGGAAGTGCTGGTGAGAATTTGAAAGTAAAAACAAACCAAAACACTCTTCCAAAAGCCAAACAAACAACCCAGAGAAGACAAAGAAAGGGAGCTGAAGTTAGACTGGTTCTTAGAGAAGAACAGAAAAGTTGGAGTGTAAAATTCTTTAAATGAGCTATTAAAATCTGTAGTGAGCAGAAGCAGCTAAAATGAAACCAACAGACACGCAGCACTGTCTAACCTAGCAAGCCTTCTCTAGAGCTTACATTCCTGTAAGAAAAGGCAGACCTGCAGAAGCTGAGTTGCAGTGGCACGCTGCTCCGGGCTCTTAACAAGACACTGTTTTACAAAGTCCGTAAAATTGTCAGACCAGAGCTCGGGTTTCCGGAATGTTGGAGGTGGATTGGTAGGAATCATGAAAATTGCCTGAAAGCAGAAGAATATTCCAGATTTCCAAACAAAGTTTAAAGCTTTCCAACATTACAACACAAATTCACACAGACATACATTGGTACTAAAGAACAATAGACATTTCAAGTTTGCTGCTTCTAAAGAGTTTGTGCCAATATTATACATAAATTTGCTCAGAGGAGCAGTTATGTGTCCCAAAAGGTGTGAATCTGCTGGTTTTGAGTCTTAAAAATTCGTGCTTGCATAAAAAAAAAAAATCCCTTTGGATAATATAGCTGAAAATATGTTTCTTCACACCTGACACAGGGAGCTTCAGCTATGCCTTAAGAGAATCATGATTTTTCTTCCCACACAGATTCTCTCTCAAAGATCTATTTTTCATTTAATCAACAGTACAAAGAACTGACAGAAAACAAATAATTTACTCTAAATTAAAAGCAAGATAGCACGTTGATATGTTATTCAGACAGCTATAATAGCAAATCCTTCCCACAGAGCAATACATTCTAAAAGCCCAGTCCTTACCCTCATAGGATGAATATCTGCATAAGGTGGTTTGCCTTCAGCCATTTCTATTGCAGTGATTCCCAGAGACCAGATGTCTGCAACACAATTATACCCAATTTCTTGAATCACTTCTGGAGCCATCCAGAATGGGGTCCCTATAACTGTGTTCCGCTTTGCCATGGTGTCCTGAGAAGAAAAGCAGAATAAAAATCCAAACAACAGCAATTGTATTAGCCACAAACACTCATTAATGAATTATCACCCAAATTATCTTCCACTTGCGTGCACATTATTAGATTCAGCAAAACTGGGATATGAGGGCTGTAAAGAGGAATTGAAATGTGCTTACAGAAGTTACAAATATCCTGAAGAAAACAGCAAACGCTATTGCAAACCATTACTTAGGTACAGCAGCTTCCACAGAGGAAGCTCTGCTCTAATGCACTGCTGGTTTAGTGTCTCATTATGCTGATGCAAAGTGCTAAAAATCAGTGTAGAACAATTTTTCAAAGTCTCCACAAGCACGTCACACTCGCAGGCAGGTAAACTGAAGCATATACAACCATCTCGCTTTTACTTACCGTAAGTTGTCCTGCTACTCCAAAATCTGCAAGTTTAGCATGTCCCTCTGTATTCAGCAATATATTTCCAGCTTTGATGTCCCTGTGTATTTTCCTCATAAAATGCAGGTACTCTAGTCCTTTCAGTGTTGATTGCACTATTGTAGCAATTTCCTCTTCAGTGAGCTGAAGAAGAGAAGAGTTACTGTCAACCCATCAGTTGCTAAGATGTAACACTATTGAGTTTCAGTCCATTTTCCTGAGGTTCTCTAATTGCCATTTAATTGCCTTCACTAAAAATTACAGTACTAATGGGAAATTAATTAGCAACTTACAGCACTAAGTAGTAGAATTAGATTACAACCACCATACATATACACACGTACCATATTTTGCATACCAAAATTCTTTTTCAACTAGTAATTCTTATCTTGCAATAACCAAAGAAAGGCAAAGTAGAGTCTGTTATTCACAATCAGTCTGGGTTTTCAGAAAAGCCAACAAAACAAGATCTGCTCCACTGATTACATTATCCAGAGCTGATTACATTGATTGAGTTTTGGTTTTCTGATTTTCAGAGGAACAAAGGAGCTGCATCTCAGGTTATGGCCAATGGTTGTGTCAGGCATTGAACACCATGAGAATTATGCTCAAACTACTCAGCTTGAGTAGCTGGATACCCATATTTCCCATTCACACATTCAAAGGCTGACAGACGTACAGTTTTATTTCGTAATCGAATAATATCAGACACCGATCCAGCGCCGCAGTATTCCATGACTATCCACAGGTCTGTGTTCTTAAAATAGCTGCCGTAATATTTCACCACATGAGGACTACGAAATATGAAAAAAGGAGAAGAAAATAAAGGGTCAAATACCAGTAACCAGCACAACTGAATAAGCAAAATACACTGCAGGGTCCCTAAATAAGTTTTAGAAATTCAGCGTTGAAGTGTCACTGAAAAAGCCCTGATGAAAAGCATTCCAAAACCAGTCTAAACCTGCACGGGGCTACTGCTGTCCTGCCAAGCCACTTTCCCACAGCCGTGCTCATCTGACCGGCCAGTAAGTCAGCTCAGGGAACTAAACCATCTGAAAATAAATCCTACAGAAATAAGGAGTGCTTAGCCTTCAATCTGGTTTAGCTCCCTGAACCAGATTACAACAAGGTCAGTGCTGTGGCAAGCAAGAAGGCAGGACAAGGGAATGAGAAACAGACCATGGCAGTCCCTGGTAAAGCTGCCACAGAGCATTTGCACCCAAATGGAAACTTTAAAAAAGGTCCAAAGTTTGCTGGAAAATAGCTATCATTCAGAGGAATGTTCCCTTACTACCACATGCACCTACTTGTTTCTATAATTTAGTCCAGGATGTATTGTAGGAATCCAGTATAGCCTAAGACCGTCTCTCTGGCTGCTCAGAAAGCCAACAACCTAGGAAAGTGTATTGGTCAGAACCACCATCTGTCCTCTGGAAAAGGTAAAGCAGAACACTAACAGAAAGACTGTTTCTGATTCTGTGGGAACAGAGCTAAGGATCAAAAATGCACTTGGTCTGCTCTCTGCTGAGTACTTTGTAATGAAAAACCGTAAAACTACCAAGTCAGTCAAAATGTGCCGTGTCCCTTAACGCCTGCACAGAAAATGTGATGCTCCAGTGATTCACTCCCTCTGCTGTTCATAACTGTAAGATCTCATTTTAGGCCTTACAGTGTTAATATTTAATTTTAAGAAAGAGACACCTAGCAATGCTTTCCAAGCTACAGAGTAAGATTTTTTCAGGAACAAATTATTTTCAAGTTACATTTTGTTATCTGCCATCAGTCACCTTCATTTAAAGATAGTGAGTAAAGTACAATAGAGCAAGTGACTGGGACCACAGTTACATACTGCTAATGTAATTTATTTTAAATGGTTTTCCACACCTGAAGTCCATCAAAGCAGTATTTCTTAAGGCTAAGTTCATAATACCAGAAGAAATTAGTGTATTTTAAACTTTCAGCCCAGGACACACTTGGAGAGGTCTTCCGTGCCCATGAGCTCTTCATTACCGAAATTATTACACCACCTTTTCCCATCAGAAACATGCAAAGACAACCCCGAGAGCAAACCATGAGCCCGCAGAGCTGCCAGCAGGGGGCAGCTTCTGGGGATATTCAGCATATTCTGGGGATGCTCAGATCAGCAGACACCTTGTACCGCACTAGAACTTGCACAGGCAGAAAGGGGCAGGGAAGGACAGTTCTGCCACCCAAGCAGATGACAGCACGTAGGTTACGCACATGCAAGAGCAGTCATGCATTAGTGCTCTCATCCATGCGTGCCCTTTAAAAACAAACAAAACCCCTCTTCTAGCTGTTTTCTATGTCCATACCAAAATTTGCTTAGAAGTCATTACCCCTTTGGGGATGGGAACTGCTGTTCTAGCACACAATCAAGTGGCCACTGTTCTACAAGTGATGGCACATGGGGAGAACCGCAGTAACTGCTCACACGCTCGGCTCTCTGCTGGCAGCCAGTGCACGGTTATTCAACTTAGCTTAATGCTCTCTTGTTGCAAGCTAAATTTTTGTTGTCTTACCTTTGCTTGGATTAACACTACCCAAATGGTCACTTAACATGACTCAGTTGATACGAGGTAACTTGATCGTACAAGTCCAGCCTTTTAAAAAACATTTAAGGCAACATCATGGCTTTTATTTGATTAAATGCCAGATTATAGACATTATCGGTACGTAAAGAAAAGTAATGGGGTTTGCAGTGTACATTTACCTGTCACATTGCTGCATTATGGATATTTCCTTTATAATCTCTTGCAGGTCAGATTCCACAGGAACTTGTTTAATTGCAACAACTTGACCCGTTTCTTTATGAATGGCTTTGAACACACTGCCATAGGAGCTATGAAACACAATATTAAATACACACTGAATAAAATACCTTTTTAAAAATGCAAGTGTCATGTTTTTGATTTCTGCAAGTGCAGCCATCAGGTAAAAAATAAACTATCCTCCTGCTAAAAATATTTTGCATTTTAATGTAAACAATCAGTCCACTAGTTTCTAAACACTGTAATAATACTAGTAAGTCACAACACACTGAGGAGGTCAGAAGTGAGCCAACCATCATTACACTGCCCATAGCTTTGGAATGGCCTTTTACACAAATACAATTCTCTCTTTTCTTGCAGCATACAGTACCAGCATCAGTAAGAACTATAGCTCTGGTCAGAGAGGTTTTCTTGTTTTTGTCAGACATTATCTGTCTTATATCCAGCTTCTTTACTTACAGCAGCCAGGCAGATTTCCAACGCAGTTTCTTCAAATTAACTGCTTAAGAAGGCAAGCATGTCACTCACAGAGTTCCCATGCTGCTCTGCCTTGCCAAGTGGCACAATGCAACAGAAGCTCATTTCCACCACACAACTCTTCTGCAAGAAGTACCAGGGATGAACTACAAAAACCTCTTGAGTTCCCACAAAGCCCTATCAAATCCAGATTGGGATTTTTCAGTAATGTTTTAACTCCCTCCTGCCATGTCACATGCTACTGTTTGGATTAAGATATGGTACTCTTGGGAAACAAATTCTTTTTTGTTACTAACAAAACACTGGCACTTTGCAGTAATAGGGCAAAAGTGAAAAAAATCAGAGACCACTGAACACGCACCCATTACATAGATTTGTCCTTAGAGAAATGTACACTGGGCACACTGGAATAGAACACATACCCTTCTCCAAGCTTCTCCAATACATCAAATACTTCTTCAGGTTGTTTGGTTAAACTGTCTTCATCTAACTTCTTCAGCTGCCTGTATATGTAAGAATAGAGAAACTATTACAGTTAACTTCATGGCAGTTTGGGCTTTGTTGAAACAGAAGAATAAATAGCACCACTTAAACGTATGCAAGGCTTAGAATGAAGTAAACTGGTTACAAAGTAACTTTATTTCACCTTACCAGGAAACCAAATATTATTAGAATCCAACAGCAAAAGAGGACAGAAAAAAATAACAGAATTGGATCAGGCACACAAACCTACAGTTCATCTTGGTGGAAACACATCTCAGAATCTATACGCCGACGGTCAATCCCAACACAGCACTGCAGAGTCTTGCAGCTATTGAACATATCTGCTGAAGTTCAACACCTTGTGCAGTAGGATATATACTAAGGCCACGTAAAAAGGAATATCATCTTCCCTGACACCTTATAGTATATGTGGAATACATTTGTTAGGAGGAAGGAGGCAATACTGATCTCACTTGTACATTTTTAACATCAGAAGTTCAGATCTTGACTTTGCAGGCCTGGACATATACTACAAAAATTCGGGGGGGGGCAGGGGGAGAAAGGAAACTGGTATCTGACTCTTTTAAGAGTCCATTCCTCTTAAATGCATTGCTAATAACAGTCAGCTGAAATATTTCCTAGGAAAAAAAATAAAATGCTATGCACTATGGTCCTTAACTTTGTCCCCCTCGCCCCTAGTACAACTTTCAGGAAGATGCTGCACACAATGCAACAAGGTCAACTGTGTTTCTTTCAGTCTACCTTTACCATAGCAGTTTACCAAGAAACCTCCTGAAATAGCAAAGTACTACATAAAAAAAACAGTTCTGAAAAAGTATTTTACTGTTGAGCAAACAATATCTAATAGCCCACAAACAAGTGCTCTTTCATTTTCACATGAAGTAAAAAAAATCTGAAACAACAAAACCCACAAAAACCACCCCAACAAAAAAACCTCCAAACTCCCCAAACCAGCTCATACAAGTTTTTGAAACACAGAAACTTATTAGTCTTGGAGTTTTCAGAACTTACTGGTCTCACAGCGAGCAGGGTTTAAAATGAAACAAGCGTGGTCACCTGCAGCTGCAAATTACTACTCAAAGTTCTCACTGCTATTGTTAAAGATCATGACTCCAGCCACTGGCATGCTAATTTTGATACTAAATATGTAATTTTTTCCCCAGTTTCATTAGAAACAGAGTGAGAAACCACTCTCTGATCCCTGGCTATTATGTTTATGCACAAAGGCCATAGAGGAGGAGCAGCTCATGCATGGAGCACATACAATGGCTTCCTGAAGCAAAGGAAACATTATAAAAAAGCAGACTCAGGAAGTGGTGAAATACTGAAAGTAGTCACTAGCTTCCCTGCAAAGATAAGCATTAACCAACAGAGTGATACTTGTCCTTGTAAAAATGAGGAGCGAGGAGAGTGTGGGAAGAGCAGAAAAGAGGAAAACAAAAAAATGTATATGTATCAGTGACCACACAAGCCACCACTCCAAGGAGCCTAAGAAGTGGCAATGCAAGAGGCAGACCCTTCTTGTTGAAGTTGAGGCCTAAACTTTATTTCAAAAAAAAGACTTTTCACACACCCAAACATAACAACCAGACAACTACTGTGCTTACATCAAACTACCACATTTCTGCTGTAATCCAAGAGTACACAATTAGTTTGCACTGTCCCGTCTGTCCAGCGCACTCGCTGCTGCCGAAGGTGCATTTTCACTGCGTGTTTGCACAACACGGATATAACAGCAACACAAAAATAATCTCACGACAGTTGTTATTCAGATCTAACCTCAATCACCTTCCAGTTAAATACTGGCACAAGCAATTAGATTATAAAAATAGACTTTTTTAATAGGAGATGCATTGCTGGTTTATTTAACAAAAAAAGACGATGCCCCTGAAGACCAGAGCCGGCAGCTTCCTTTGTTCGCTGCCGAAGGCGCTCTCTGGGAACCGCCTGCCCGCCGCCGGTAACAACCTGACAGGCCGCCGCGGGTCTCCCAGCGCCTCCCCGCAGGCTGCCCGGCCGCAG